TTCTTCCTCCTCGCCACCGCATACCCCTCCCTGGCTATGGCTGCCGTAGCAGCAGTAATCCCACAGCTGTCACAACGTGCCGATCTGAACCAGCAACCCTAATGATAACAGCGCCGGCTCAGCACCCGCACGGAAGTGCAGCGCTTGAAGTCCTGATGAAGAAGGAGACAACGGATGCCCTTCGAAGAAGACACAGTTCCTCGAGAGGAGGAACAACAGCAGATATGGCTGCCAAGTGGAAGATGGCAGCACCCAAACCCAGCAACACAGTCCTGTGGAAGCTCTAATCCAGCGCTGTGAAATAGCAGCAGTGCGATCTTCAACTTCGTTTCCCAACCCCTGCTGCTATGACTGGGCTTCGAGGAAGAAGATGACCTCCCCTCGCCCAAAATAGACCAGCAGCGCTCCAACAATGGACGAGCAGAGTTTCCCCAGCCAACAAAAACGTGAAAAGACCGAAACCAAATTTCCTGCCCGCTACTTCTAGCCTCTGCCTAGACCTACGACCGACTCCAAAGGCAACAACCCAATACTCGTCTGCATCTAGATGGAAACAGGAGGAAAAGGGGAACCTAGACCTATGACAAGGCAAAAGGAAAAGGCCGAATGGCCTTAGGCTACCAAACAGAGACTCGTACTGACAGACTTAGGGATCAAGTCCCATAGGGCTCAAAACTAACAAACAAAACACGAACAAATTACAGGTCATGGGATCAAGTCCCGCAAGGCTCAAAACAAGAAAACAAAATACAAAGCCAAACACTTAGTGGACAGCCCCACTGGGAAACTGAGATTTATTGCATGCACCCCCCCCCCAAAAAAAAGAAAAAGAAAGAAGAAAGAAAGAAAGAAAGAAAGGACCAAGGCAAGAAAAAAACAACGATTAGCTGCCACCGCTATTGGTCCAGCATCGAAATTTGCACGAAGAAGAGTTTTTGGGAAGGAAGAAAAAAAATCAAAGCAAAACGGTCTCTTACCTTCTTCCCCCGAATACAATGTACGGTCATTCTACCTGTATTTGGAGTATCTTTGAGTCTAAAGTACAGGTGTAATGACCATTCGTTGTATTTGGGGTGAAGAAGGTAGCAGCACCCCTGTGCTTTTCGGTTTGCGATGAGGGTACTGATGCCTTGCCTATATAAGAAGCTACTGCCTAATCCAGGCTTCTCGCCCTCGCCCCCTTCCTCCCCTCCCCCCCTCCTCCCCTTCAGAACTTAACTCGGGGATCAGTGCGGATTTCCCTAATCCAGGCTCCTCCCCTTGCCTAAATAAGAAGCTAGGGCCTAATCCAGGCTCCTCCCCCTTGCCTATGTACGAAGCTAGTGCCTGTATACGAACGGTTTACAAATGGGAATCCCCACGTCTTGATGACGGATAAGGCCATCTGCTGTGTATAGATATGTAATCTGGGATTTTTCTTTTTTTGCAGACAAGAGTTTTGTCCTGGGTGGTCTTGTCCTGTCGTTTGGCCTGTGAAGGAGGGGTGGTGCTTGCATGTGGGACTTGTCATCTAGGATCCGTTTTTGGTGCTATTGCTTGTTGCCCCCTGTTTTGTTGTATTTGGCTGTTCTCTTCCTCTTTTCTTTGCCTCTTTGCTCTTTGGCTGTGTGCAAGTGGGTTGATATGACACACGGGGGTGGGGGCAGCTGCCGCTCAACCTATATCCACGTGGGCGGCCTTGTACGCAAGAGGTTCTGAACAGGGGTCATTTTTTCTTGTTTTTCTTTCTTTTTTCCTTTTTGTTCTTTTTGTTCGCATTTGCGCTCTGATACTCTTGTGACAGTATATATCGTCATATGGCGGTATATATAAATGAAATGAGCCAAGTACTCGTCAAGTTCAACCTCGCATACATCAATGAACATTCAGATGAGATTTCATGCGTGAGAAGTCAAATCGAGATACAATCAACACTTGAAGATCCCATCCCCAATATTATTATTAATATACAAGAATGTTTGTCTCCAGCGGCTCTGCCACACACACACACACACACAACGGATCGCAGTCAGGTGGCGGCTATGGCTTCTCTCTCCTCTCTCTTCTCTCTCTCTCTCTCTCTCTCTCTCTCTCTCTCTCTCTCTCTCTCTCTCTCTCTCTCTCTGACTTGGCTCGCTCTGCCTCACTCCCTCTCTCTCTCTAACCTAGATCGTCACCCTGGATACACCCACTCAGGTATGCTTACACCTTGGCGGCTATGGCGCCGACCTCCTGCTCTACCACTAACCTAGCTATGGAGTCACTCGTGAGCGCCCTCTTCTTCTTCGGGTGCGCAGTGCCCAAGTTGTCTTAATGCACAAGCAGCAGCAGAGCTTCCGCATCTCGCAACTGAACAAGTGATGAGCCGCTGCACTGTAGCAGCTAAATATAGGACTTGGCTTGGCTTGGCTTGGCTTGGCCTGCTTCAGACTGGTACCGGTCGGCCACGGCCTTTCTGCTGCAAACATTTTGTCGGTCATGAGCTTCCGGACTTTCCTGGGACATGCTGCAAAATTGGACTTGGGACTGTCGGACTGGACGCTTCTGGACTTTTCTTGTCGGGTACCGGACGGACTCCTACCGACCTACGACGCTTCGGTACCAACACCGACCGACCTACAACACTTCAGCCTCTAGACCCTACAGCCTACCCTATGGGACAGCCCTGGGACTTGGGACTTGTTGGGACCCTGGGACAGGGACTGGGTGTCTGCAGCGTGAATCCTTTCATATACGCTAGTAATTCTACATAAATTTATATGTATGTATTTACGGTATGTATATATATACCTACCTGCCCTAGTATAATGCGCACTGATCTTGTCACCGACCATATCAATGACCCTATCACTGACTCTATGACCGACCCTGGGACTGATCCGGTTCATGTGACCCCAATCCTTCCCTGAGTGATTGGGACCCATTTTAAGGTTTTGAGTCCAATTTTGCTATTCCGGTGCTTCAGCACGACCCTGGGGAGCTGATCCGGAATAGTCAGCCTGAGTGGGCTGTGTGCTGATTTGGCCCAGCGAAGCGGGTGTAGTGGTGCAGGTAAGTGTACTTGGCTGAGTTGATGAAGCACGGACTTGGTTTTTGGGTCCAGAAAAGTGGACCAGGTTCGTTGTATGGGCTGAGTTGATGAAGCACGAACTTGGTTTTCGGGTCCAGAAAAGCGGACCAGGTTGGTTGTATCGACATAATATGAATCTGGTGTAATCCGGGGGGAAAGGAGGGGGGAAGGGGGGGGGCCCGACGGTGTGGATTTTGTTGATTATAGCACGAACCTGCCAGTCCAAGAACGCAGACCACGGGAAAAGGGAAGAGCTTGCTTACGTGTGCGTTTGCGCTGTAAACAAGACCAAGAAATAGATAGATGTACACACACATGAAACGGTATTCACCAGTTCGCAGTAGCGAATGCAGATCCCAGGGCTCTATCCCTAGTTCCCCGTCTTACCCGTATACAGTAATGATGTCAAGACAGTAATGATGTCAACCCGTAGATTTGAACCTGCGACCTGCAGGAATGCCAGTGGTAGGTAGATTGTCGTAGGTCATAGGGTAGAAGGGAATCGAACTGTAGACCTGTAGAGTAGGAGTCTAGACAATTCCAGAGTCGTAGTTGTAGGATCTCCAAAGGGTCAAGGTTGTAGCTCCTACTTACCTGAAAGGGCAAAGTCGTAGCTGCTACAGTACCGAAAGGCCAAACGAGAGACTTCTAGAAGTGGCCTTTCGGAGTTCACCTGTGTTCAACAGAGGCAAGTGGTCAAGTGGTGGTAGGCCACCTTGCTGAGTCAACAGTCCCAGTTAGTCAGTCCGGTCCTGTCCAGCAAGTACCGTCTGGGACTGTGGGCACATCGTGGGCCAGGGGATACAGGGCAGACCAACACAGCACCGAAGTATAAATCAAGAGGCTGCGTCCATTCAATCATTCATTCCTGCGGATGCCATGCGGAAGCGCTGCCTCAGCAGCTTGTGCGAGGAGGTCTGCAGTGCGCCCGAAGACGAAGTGGGCAGAGAAGTGTAGTGTAACGATAGGGTAGTGGCAGCTAGCGCTGCCATAGCTGTAGTATGGTGTGTGTGTGCGTTGTGTATAAACGCTGAGTGTTGCGAGTGGGACATCCAGGGTGATCTCGAGTGTGAACAGTGAGTTCTGTGGGCGCACAGTCGCCATAGCCAGTGGGAAGAGAACTCTTATCTGGTTGCGATATCTTCGCGTATTGTGTGGGCGCATGTCGCCAGTTTGCCTCGTGCCCGCCCTAAGTGAAGGCGGGCCAGCAAATCAACAAGAGCCCTCTATGCCAACATTTCACGAAGTGGGGTCTATACAGTTGCAGCACGCCAGTTGGTTGGAGTGCACCGAGTCTCGGATTTCAGCAAATGCTGAAATGCCCARGGCCTCTGAGTTAGTTAGGCCCTGGGCACTYGAAYGTGAGGCCGRCAATGCATGCTGGGTAGAGAGGCYGAAAATGCCAAAGGGAAATCGGCCCACKAWCTGAATCYGGCYGCAGGCCTTGATGAGGGAGGCGCAACTGCATTGCTCCGGGGCCCAACTGTATCGGGTAGGCTTCAGCCTCTGGGCCCCGGTCATAGGCTGAAGGGAGGCCGCCCACACTCTGCATTGGCATATAGGTAAGCAGGGCGAGGCAGAACGCATCTTGGCCAATGCAGGCATTGCCGGCACGCTGCGCGAGTGCACGGGTGCTGCGCGGTGTAAAGCTGCGTTGTGCGCAAGCAGACAGGCCAGCGCTAATGCGGAGGAGCGCTGCCTGGGCGCAGGGCGCTGGCGGCCATAGCCGGGCTGCTGGCATGCGCAGGGGAGGTGAGGGCGAAGGTGGTACTTCGGAGGTGAAGGGCACTGTGTGGGTAACAAGGGAGAGTGTGGGGAAGAGGACACGTACCTGTTGAAGGGGGAGGTCGACATTGGTGTTGACATCATCACTCGCTGGTAGTCAAGTTGTCTAGTTGCTTTTCATTGCTGTAGTTGTAGGATAGCTGTAGAGTAGATAGGGCGCCTGGCGCCATTCACAAGAGAGAGCTACATTTGGGTTATGCTGTACGGGCACTTCCAGTTCATCAGGTTCTAGACAGTCTACAAGTCAAATGGCGGGCTCGCAGTTCAGCCCGTTGACTCCTCGTGAAAGGGAGATGAGGGAGCTCCAGCAGGTCGAAAGGATCCGTGCACAATTAGAGAAGGAACTGAAAGAGGCTACCGATAGAGAAAGAGAGATCAAGAATAGAACAGCCAGGCTTGAAACGTTAACGGCTGACAAGGCTGAGTTAGAGGGCATGGACAATTCTGGAATGAACGAGCCCATGAAAGTGTTGCGGAACAACATGCTGTCACTGCACGCGCACGTTGACAGCAGGTTGGACTTCATGCAGAGCACTTTGGACCAGATCCTGAACATCTTGACAAGCCCAGGATTTAGGCCACCAGCCCAATCGCCGCTGCCGTTAACGGCGATGTCAGGCCCCTTTCTAGTTCAAGCTGGTTCACAACCAAGTGGTACGTCTGCAGCAGTCTCACAAACTGTTGCATCTTCTTCTTCGGGTCCGATGGTGATTGCTGCATCACCACAACAACCTGTTCAGCAACGTGGACGGTCGCAAGGTCAATGGTACCCCAAGACCCCAATGAAATCGCCTCTTGCCTTCTTAGGCGAGAGAAAGGACGAGGAACTCAACACATGCTTGAGAACGGTCCCGGTTTGGGTGAAGGCCAAAAGGACCTGGGCTGAGGACGAAGTGGTAACTGCGGCATCTTACCTAGAGGGTAAGGCAGCCAAATGGTTAGATGGAGTAGTTGTGAAAGCCGGGTACGGGCGACGCATGGCGGACTGGGCCAAGTCTTTGACTGTAGACCAGTTAATGGAAATGGTAGAAGCTCGATGGCATAATCCCCAGGAGGCACAAAAGGCCACTGATGCCATAAACAAACTGGACCAACGAAAGTTCAGGTCAGTTAGAGAGCTTACGACTACCATTGAAAGCCTGATCCTCGTCCCAGGTATCAACTACAGCGACCAGTTCCTGTTAACAACGTTTGTTAGATGTCTTCCTGAGAACATCGGGAACTTACTAGCCAGTGAGGCACGCACCGAGTACCACTCGTTTGAAACATTGTCTAGGAAGGCCTTAGACTTGGAGGCCACATTAGGCAATGCTCAACCCACCTCAGGGAATGACTCAAAGAAGAAGAAGAGTCCTCAGCAGTGGAAGAAGAAGGGGGCGAAGTTGATGATGGTTGAGTCAGATGGGACTCAAACTGAGATCGATGAGCTCTCTGACCTAATGGACTACTCAGAGTATGACGGCGAGGAGATAGCTGAGGGTAGCACCCTCGCCGCGGTAGTTAAGACTAAGGCGGCAGGTCGAGGGAAGGGCCAACCTAGGAGTCAAGGGAAGGCCGCCTCCAATCAGACCAAACAGGCTGAGTGGGTTAAGGCAGGTCTTGATCAAGACGTGTGGCGTGACCGCCGATCGCGTGGCGCTTGTATCAACTGCGGGGAATACAGACACACGCAGTGGAAGTGTCAGAACGCTAAGGTTACACAAAAGATTGCTCCAAAGATGGGGGCATCTTATTCCCAGGCTTCTAGCTCGGGAAACGCGAAGGGCCAGTGGAAGTAGTAGCGGCTTCTACTCAAGATGAAGTGGGCATGATACCCTTCTCACTTCATGACAAGGCCGAAGCTAATGACTCCTTAGTCACCCCGCAGATGCATCTAGACCAAACTATGCTCTGTACGTTAGATGTGTCTGAGGCC